CCGTATATATAATATACTTATAAAAGAGTTTTTGACCATTTTTTTATTTTTAAAATTAGAGTTTTAAATCATTTTTATTTCGAAATTCAAAGAATTCCTCCACCCTCGATGCCTAGAAATTCTTCCACTGTCCTAAAAATATCCATTTAGAAAGTTTAAAAAGGCTTTGTAAATCCGGTTTTTATATGATTTTATTAAAAGTAAACAGAATTTTCTATCATTTTTATTTTTAAATTTAGAGTTTTCTCTCATTTTTATTTTTTAAAATTTAAAATTAAAAGTTTTGTAAACTGGATTTTTATTTTGTCTAAAAAAACGTTCACCCACAAGTATTGCTCATATTGTGTAAATGGTAGAGTCCATTCCCAATGGGGCCATTCGAACACATGCACTTCCTCTTCGTAACTACTTAGGTTGACTAATAAGAATAACAATAGGGCCTTTCTGAAACTCTAAATTAATTTGCAGCGGCCTCGTTAGTGGAGTTAATGTCTTCGGTAAATTTTAAAATACCAAACTTTGATTATCTACATCTATTAATATAACTTCTAATAATTTTTGCCTTGTACAAAAAATATTCTAAATTAATTTCATAATAGCAACAACTTTAACAGTACCTCTCCAAAACTCTAACAAAAGTGGTAGATGACCACCTTATCCAAGTTGGATTAAAGGGATAACATGATCACAAGCCGTACATAAGACTCACTACATACAACATTCTGCACGCCATCTAACAATAAGTATTTGCAATTATCATTTTATCAACTTATTTTGATATGCATTCTGGGTCAATCTTTAATTTTTTTAAAAACAAATTTAATTGTTTTCACTTATATTGGAGGTAGGGATTTTCATCTTTCTTTTTCTTATTTTTCAATACATTAAAAGATTATAGATATAGAAAACTGAGTACTTGCATGCTTACAATGAATCATCAAAAACTTGATTAAATGAGTAGTGATACTTATACCGACCCAGTAATTTTTAATCAATTGTTTATTTAAAATACAATTAAGTGGAGGGTTTCACTTTCTTATTTATTGTATAATTGACCAATTCACTATAATTATTTGGTCCAAAATATATTAGTCCACCCAGAATATATTTATGAGTCCTCCATATATATAACTACTTCAATTTAAAATAAGGTGAAAACATAATCCCCACCTCCCTATCGTTTACAAAAACGACATATAATCCCCTCAATTATTAAACAATTCGCTAAACAAACAAAAATTATCAAGTTGCCTCATTTCTGTAACAGAACTGTTAAGTTGTTGTAAAATGAGAATAATACCCTTGATAGTATATTATTATTTTATTAAATTGAAATTGTTAATTTCAAATGACAATTATGCCCTTCTTGTGAAACTAATCAACGTGAACAGTGGGTGGTCTTGTTGGATCATGATTGTTAGTGGTTGTTTGACAAATTTTATGGGTCAGCTAATCCAGAGCATATGAGTATAAATCTAGCAAATATGTGCACACAGTTTTGAATTTGTCTTGGCCTAGAATATTGGGTTTTTTAGAAGTCAAACTGATGGAAATTAATTGTTGAATCTCTAAAAATGAAGTCAAATTTCATGACGCTCTCCCTCTCTCTCTCTCTCCACACATACTTGTACAGCATTATACTTGTTTACACACTTTTATCCTAAGCAGCATAATTATTTAGTGAAAATCTTAGGGTAGGTTTTTCTTAGCATCTTGACGGCTTGAAATTGTAAATAAATTAAATGACTTAAAAACTATGTTGTTGCCTTAATCTTCTGAATACTATGCTTCGTCATAATTAACAGTGGTAACTCGAAAAATTTAAATTCTCTTGTAAGAACGAGAGGGTAGTTGATAGTTATAGTTTTTCATCTTCCGAGAATCCGTGACACAGGTCGCGATCAGAAGGCGCCTATTCTTGTGGAATAGACCACCGGTGGAAAGTTGGCTCATATTTGATTTTTTGTTCTCTTATTCTTGGACGGAATAGGCCACTGGGATTGAACTGGGTTTCGCCGGGGTGGATTAAAGTTGCTTGAGACGTCGTCGGACTGAACTGGTTTTCACCAAGGAAGCTTGAGGCGTCGCCGAACTGAAGCAATTTGTTGGGTTTCGCCAAGGAGAGCTCACTAGTAAAGCTTGGCGGTAGTGGAGCTAGTTTGGTCATTCACTGGAGCTCGCCGGTTTATTGTCGGAAAAAGCATGCAAGTCACATTACTACCTGGTTTGGTCATCGTCACCGTTGTGGTTTAATGTAGAAAGAACCTTGAGGCTCACGAGATAGAATTGGATTTCGTCGGGGTGGGTCGAGGTTGCTTAAGACGTCGCCGGACTGAGCTGGGTTTTGCCAAAGAGGGCTTGAGGTGTCGCCAGACTAAAGCAATTTGGTCTTTGTTTCATCTAAAAAAGGAGTGCATTGGACTGAAGTAATCTCTGAAGTTTGGTTGAGGTTGTTTGTTTAGACTCACGTTTGGCCACCGCTGAAACACGCCGAAAAATATGGAGTTAAACTTTAGACTTAAATAGGGGTAGTTTAGTCATTAAGTGATTAAAAGGGTAGTATGATTAGATTCAAGTAAAATATTTTGCACGTGAAGTCAAAATCAAATTCATGGAGAAGGATTTCATATTTTCCTTTCTTAATTGAGTACAACAGCTGGGGGTTATTTCTGAATGGAAATCTCCATTGGTTCAATTAAGATATGAGTAAAATGACTTTTTAAATTACCCGATAATATATTACCACTACTCTTTAGTAGTGGTTTGATTGCCCAGTAATGGGTTAACTTGGGCTATAATTCAGGCCCAATTGAAAAAAGAAAATTTAGTATTATTGTTCCTATAAGTTCATATATTACTCTTCCTCTTCCTATCAGTCCAGTCCAATTCATAGTATTTCTATAAATAAAAGGAGTTACAAAATTTATAAAGGCTAAGCCTTAAATATGAGTAAGTCCATGAACCATGAACATGCCAAATCACAAAATAAACCATAATAAAACATAACAAGGCCAACCCAATAAATCAAACGCATTGTTAGTTTATGGAAGAATACCTAAACTCTTCGTGTGTAAAACACCAAGATATAAGTGAATGGATATCATGGATTATTATTGTTAATCCAGTGAAATATTAATTTTTATTTTTGAAAAAAAAATAAAAAAAGGGTTGTGTTGATGACTTGATGATTTCTTGTTAAATTGGGTAATTTACTATATAATGGATTAATAATTAGTAAGGGGCGGAGCACATGGGTCTTTTTCTCTAATGTGAATTTGTTGATAAGGGACATATATATTTTGCATTATTGCAGGTGTTTGTTTTAATATTTGTATGAAGCAGACTTTAGGGGATTCTTGATTGGGAAAATACGTTTGAGTTTGAAAGTGTAAATGTGTTAGAAGGTTGTAAATTATTGGGTTTAATTGAATGACTGATGCATGAAAATTCTGTATTTAGAGTATGGCTGATACACTAAGCAATCACGGGTTTAATTATTTTTAGCCCCTCTATTTTGCAATCCTGGCTCCCCTTGCTTTTTGGTTGATGAAGGAATATGGCATGAGAGCGTCTTGGACTAAATTTGAGTTTCGCATCTCTTGTGGTACCATGAAGCCTTTGGATTTCTCAAACAATGAAGAATATTTATTTGCAATTGGTAGCAGAGAGCTTGTCATGTGCTATCTAAAAGAGAAAACACATAGGTGCGCGCAGTTTCACCATACTCCCCCTAATTTTGGGATCAATGGAATGAGGCAGTAACTTGTTTGGAGACCATTGTTTCACCCAAGTCTTACAATATGCTTTAGCAACGATATCAAAACACTGGTGCTGAGGTGTGGGGCCGTCGACAGTATTTTTAAGTTTGTAGTCTAGGGTGGGTTCTAAAGGGACCCTAAATATATAATTTAAATGTGTGTATCCTATTTATATAATGTAGCGATATTGAGATTTTTTTTTTTTTTTTTTTTTATAAAAAAAAGTCATTTAGATCAATTCATAAGCTATATTTTTCTTAGTTAAAATGTATTTATATGTGACTGTTTAGGGGTATCATTGTGTATTGAATTCACATTCGTCCTCTAGTTCATTACAGCCCGTAAAATAAATTTATGTTTCAAGCATTTGGATTTTGGACACCTACCAAACTGTTTTTAATTTCTGCGTGCTTATATATTTATTTATATCTTCTATTGTATGGTGAAAATTTTCATTACTATTGGTGAACACAAACATCATCAAGTGGAGCGCAGAATAAGACCATGTTAACCATATTTAATTACTATAACTCGATCTAAAACTAAGCTTTTATTTGTAGTTATATGCAATATGCTCAAGAACGTACAAGAGGTACATAACACATGGTTGTTTTCGATCATTCTAAAAATATAAAATGATCGAAAACAATATGTACTTTCAATGTATAATATATATATATATATATATATATATATATATATATATATATATATATATATATATATATCCTATTCACTTATTACTTAACGGAAAAAAGAAGAAAATATTATGGTTAACTGCTTCTAATACCTTCGTGGTCTAAGTGGTAGGTTGCACAATGTTGTCTTTGGAAGCTCAGTTTGGAGCCTTTGCACCTTCTCTTAACGTTCTTGTCATACCACAAAAAAAAAAAAAAAGCCTTATTTACTCCGTATTAACAACAATCAAAACAATTGTGAATTGTCCCTCAATTCATGAGTTTTAGGTGAAAAAATTAAAATAAAAAAATCACTAAATTTCAGACCTAATTCAAGTTAAAAAAGGAGGAGGACACCCCCTGATCCTAATACCATAAAGAATCCTTGTATTAAAAGGAATAAGGAAGTTGGAAAGAAATATAGTAGTAACATTGTTACCATAAATCAGGATATCTTACGTACCAAAAACTATTTATTGGAAAAAAGAGAATCCAGAAGCTGTGTTTGGGTGTACGTAAAATTCATTCTCTTTGAAGAAGGCTAGGCTTGGCTAGTTGAGGAGGTATGGGTAGGAAGACGAAGAGGGAGAAGAAGGGAGAAGAGTTATCACCAATCCTCCCGCACGATCTCACAGTCGAAATACTATCAAGACTACCAGTGAAGTCTATTGTACTATTTAAGTGTGTATGCAAGTCTTGGCTCACCATGTTCGCAGATTCTCAATTTATCAAGCTTCACCTCACACGGTCTAACAACTCTAAACTCGTCCTCACACATTCGTTTAACTTTCTGGGATATCTTCCTCCTCCAAGTCTCTGTGTGTCGTCTTGCGGTGGCATGGTTGAAGACCAGGGGAGTACTAGGATTGACGTTGATGGAATTCATATCTTAAATGATGATCATATGTATGATAATGATGATGATGGTGATGGTTATGATTATGATTATGATGGTAATCATAAGAATGCAGGGATGATGAGTATAGACGGATCTTGTCGTGGCTTGGTGTTATGCCATTTTACCGATTACCACACGTTATACTTGGTGAATCCGTCAACTGGAGAAGTGTTTAAATTGCCAGACTCACCATTTAAAAATTCTGCTGATGTTGCATCTTTTGGACTTGGCTATGATACATCCCTTGATGACTACAAGGTTGTAGTAGTCTCATTTTGTGAAAAAAAAAATCAGTTTATATTCACCAAGATCAAATTCATGGGGAAGGGTTTCAGAGTTTCCTTTTTCATGTGTGTTTAATTCAGCAATGTTTTTGAATGGCAAATTCCACTGGTTCGATGAAGATGGGAGTACAATTGTTTCTCTTAGTCTAGATGAGGAAAAATTCGGAGATGTTCCATTACGCCTTGGTTGGATTGAAATTCCTGAATTGGTTGGAATTTTCAAAGGATGTCTTTATCTCCTATTAGAAGCTAGCTCTGATGACTTCACCTTTTGGGTGATGAAGGAATACGGCAGGAGAGAGTCTTGGTCTAAATACAAAGGAGTCGACTTCCCTAGAACCGAGTTTGTCCTCCCATACTCTACAGTTACCTTGATGCCTTTGGATTTCTCAAATGACGAAAATGAAATTTTATTTGCAATTGGTGATAGCCAGTTTATTGTGGGTGCGTATACATTTATTTATATCTTCTATTGTATGAAGAAAATTCATTCCACATCATCAAGGATGGAGTACAGCAGAATTAGAGAAACAAATTCAAACCGAGACTTGAACCTAAGACATTGTAAACCAAAATTCCGAAACCATACTAACATATTTACAAATATAACCAAGCTTTTATTTGTAATCATATACAATATGCTTAAGGCTCACTATCACCATAAAGAAATTATTACGACGAGTTTATATTCACTAAAATCAAAATCCTGGAGCAGGATTTCAGATTTTCGTTTCTTAATTCTGTTCGTTTCAGAAGTGTTTTTGAATGGTAATTTCCACTGGTTTAATGAAGATATGTCTAAAATGGCATCTCTTAGTTTAGCTGAGGAAAAATTTGGGAATGTTCTATTACCTGAAATTATAATATTTTATCATCACAATTTAATCAGTCTATTGGGATTGTCAAAGGATGTCATGGCATCACCTTTTGGATGATTAGTCTATTGGGATTGTCAAATAAATATAGTGTTTATAAATTTGAACGGATCAGACCAGTTTTTTTTCTTCTAATTCATAGTTTGTAAATTACGACTTCATTATTTATTAATTTGTGATCCAACCACGAGATTAAAAAATCAACTCAATCCACAGGAATTAAATTTAGATTAAATTGATTTCACGGATTTGGGACCAAATGAACATCCCTACGTTTTATATCACAGGTTAAACATCCACTGCCTTTGCAACATGCCAAGTTGTAGTGCTAATTTTGTACAATAGCATATAACATAAGTAAAGATTACTCTTTTTATTTTTATTTACACGTGGGAATGAATAGATAAAACACCCCAATTGTGAATGGCGGTGAAGTAGTATTATTATTATCGTTTTACCAAACTAATAATTGAGGAAAGTTTTATTTATTTAGAACCGTGACAATTATTAGATAAACTACGCTTTTACAATTAAAATAATTAAATATATATATTGTATATTAAAATATATATATAAATTAAAATTAAAATTAAAATTAAAATTCGCTTAGGTTGATGTCAATTGAGTTTGTGGTTTGAAATTAAAATTAGTTTATTTTTTTTGTTTGGAATACTTTATTTTAGAGTTCTGATTTATTTGGTGACTATTTATAGTTGGAATCCATGTAGGAAATGAAATTCGAAAACTTTATAAATAGAGAAATAGAGAAAGAAATAGATAATTGTAAAGGAAGGAAAAGTGAGTTGAATTTGGGAGAGAAAAGACGGGTGAGTTGCAGATACTTGTTCTTTGAAATACATAAATCTGGATATCTCGATTTGCTAATTTTTTCAAAGTAGTGAGTGGGTAATTCAGTCATTCCGTCAAAAACAAGATTATCCGGAGTAAAACAACGCCGTCGTACAAAGGAAACCGTTAATCTAATCCGCCGGCGGCCCATCATCGTCGTCGTCCTCATTAGACTCGTAACCCCCATCTAACCCACTCTGTATAACACCCATCCCTGCCTCCATTTTCTTACTCCAAACCATTGCATTTCATTCCAACCTAAACCAAACCCTAAACCCATACTTAATAAAACTCCAAACAACCACAAATGGGTGAGGTTAGTCCCTGATCACAAGTTTCCCAACTCTTACATTTCATTAAATTTTCATCACAATTTCAGGTACAATTAGTCGCTAAATGTTTCTTTAATTTTATTTCTGTTCCAGAAAGATGCCCCAAAACGTGATAGAGAGAAGAAGGCCGACGCCGGCACCACCGTCGTCTTGAAGATTGGCATGCATTGTGAAGGCTGTGCCAAGAAAATCAAACGATCAGTTCGTCATTTTGAGGGTAACAATTTTTATATATTTGTATCAATTTATACACAAGGACACAGTATACTATATATATATATATATATAAATGATCATCTAAATTTTTATCAATCAAGAAATTAAATCTGATTTTCAGTTATAAATGTGAAGAATGACAATCCCATTTCTTCACAAGCTTTTCTGAATTTGATGCTCAAATATTTCCTAGTAGTTTTGATAAATTCAATTTTCTGAAATTTTGCTTGGTGGATCAATTCAGGTGTTGAGAGCGTGAAGGCGGACATTGAGGGCAATAAACTGACGGTGACGGGGAAGGTGGACCCGGCCAAACTTAGAGATAGAGTGGCAGAGAAGACCAAAAGGAAGGTGGAAATCGTCTCTCCTCGGCCCAAAAAGGATGCCGCCGCTGCTGGTGGCGGTGGAGATAAGAAGCCCGAGGAAAAAACGGAGAAAAAATCTGACGACAAGAAGCCGGCGGACGATAAGAACCCGAAAGTGGTAACCTTCTAATCTGCGCCCGTGTGTCTGTTGTCATGCTCATGGCTAACATGCGCTATATGAGCCCGAGCCGTGTGGGGTTTGCAGACAGGATTCTGTCTAAACTGCGCTGGCGCATACAACGCATGTTAGCCAGTCTGAAGTATGATTTTTTTGTAATATTTTCTGTTACTATAGTACTCCCTCTGTCCCTTTTTAATTATCCGCTTACGTGAGTCACAGTTTATGAAACAGGCAATTAAAAATGAACAGAGGTAGTATTAATTTGAGCCACAAATTTGTATTACTTGTTAGTTGATGCTTATAGATTAATTTAGTTTAGTTATGAAATTTTCAACCAATTTTGTTTTATTAATTAATTATTTATTTATTTGTGGCGGTTGTATAGGCTCTCACAAGTACGGTCACTCTGAAGATTCGGTTGCATTGTGCCAAATGCACGGATAAAATAAAACGAATCATATCGAAGATCAAAGGTAAAAATTCCCAACCTTTATTTAATTTAATCAACTATGCTACATGCATATGTAATCATCTTATTTAATTGATATTAATAATAATTATCATTATTATAATGTTAATTTAATGGTTTAGTTAAGGTCAATTCCTCCGTCACATTTTAATTTGAAATAATGCATCATTAATTCTGACCTACAACACTAGTGTGGCAACTTGGTCATGTACGATAGAATTGTCGGGTCAAATATTATTGTTTTTTCATAATAGACGTCTTTTTACATTTTTCTTTTTTTTTTTTAACAAATAATTCACACTCGTCTTCATATGTGGTGATTAATGGTGATTAAATGGTACCATGGATCAGGTGTAGAGTCCGTGATCGCAGAAGGCAAGAAGGAAAAAGAAGGCGGTGGTGACAAAAAAGAGAAAAAAAACGGTGGGGGTGCAAAGAAAGAAGGCGAGGCGAAGGCTGCCGGTGGTGGTGGTGATGATGCGAGCAAGAAGGAGGAGCCCAAGGTTGAGGTGAACAAAATAGAGTACCATGGGTACCACCCTCAGTACTCTTATTATGGTGCACCTGCACCTGCATATAATCATGGTTACATTAATGAGGGTTATGGCGATCTTGTACCCCAATTTAATCAAGGCTATATCAATCAGGGTTACGTCATGGAATATACCTCACACCCGACTCATGTTGTGGACTATCCATCAACATACCCGTCTCCGTATCCGACTTACGTAATGAAATATCCCTCATACCCGCCTCCATACCGGACTCATGTTGTGGACTATCCACCATCATACCCGCCTCCGTACCCGACTTACGTAATGAAATATCCCTCATACCCGCTTCCATACCCAACTCATGTTGTGGACTATCCACCATCATACCCGCCTCTGTACCCGACTCATGCCCCTCAAATGCTCAGTGACGAGAATCCTAATGCATGTTATGTGATGTAATTCTATCCAAGTGGTGATCAGGAGGTCAATATTGTAAAAGACTACGCTACATGGGCCGAGGACTTCCTCGATGTAAATGGTCCTACCCGGGACTTTGGCTGAAGTCCCGTTAAAGAATCATTTTACACGTGTAAATAATAAAGCATATATGGAGGAAGCAATTAATTAAGTACAAGTACTATGTACATACAAAATTCGAATATATACAAGAATATATGTAGACGAGGTCCATGAGGACATTTGAAATGTCACTTGTTTGTTTCTAACTTTGGTGATTATAAATTTAATTCAATTTTGTGGTATTTATTCAATATTTCCAAATTATTATTATTATTTTTTTCACAAGATTTCCAAATCAAGATGGTGAATAATGTTGCAGCCTAGTGTTGGCACCACATGGTGTGTTTCTTTATTATGTGGTCCCTTTTAATTTTTGCCTTATTGTTTTAGTATATAAGATTTAGTTCTGGTACCGTATCATTTGAATGTGGTAGTAGTGGAGTTAGCACCATCATGTTAACCCTTGTGATTGTACTATTTCTCAAATTAATGTCACACAGGTTGTTTTTTCTTTTTCTAAGGAATTATGTATATATGTCAATAGGCTAACGTGTGTGTGACCTAAATTGCGTCGATGGCATAATGGGATAGTCCAATGTAGTTTGTGGGCTTAAAATTAGGATTAATTACATTGACATTTCCTTAAATTTGATCAAATATTATACGGAAATATCTTTTTGAAATAATTTTTATTCATATTACAAATGTTTTTCGATCACATCTCAAAAATTACTTTGCCGATGTATCAAACTACTTTTTACATTGTAAAAAAAAAATATTGTTCCCGTTTGACTTTGGTTTGACAGAGTGAAGTGTTATTTGATAATAAAAATGTCATTTCTGCCCTTCATTGTTCCATATGTGATACTGCTTCACATCATGCACATTTCATATTTTTACAACTACATGCTTCATCCTAATACATAATATATTAAGCACAAGCACAGAAAGCCACATGTTTCATCATAATACATAATATATTTAATTTGGAGAACTTTTTCTAATATTATACATATATATAATACTTAAAATTTATATATAATTTATTTAATTTTAAAATATATTTAATATTCACATGCATTTTTGTTTAATGTTAATATTATTATTTAAGTAAATGAATAAATTTGAATTTAAATCTATAATTAAATTTAAAAACATGAAGTTGAATATTATAATTAAAAAAATTGTTAACATATATATTTAAATATATATATTTAAAAATAAAAATAAAATTTATTTAATGTTAACATTATCAGATGCAATTCATGTTTGAATACCACATCATCAACAGAGAACAAAAAAAGTCACTTGAAAATATTCAAGTAAGAACTAACAAATCTGAGTTAAATCAAGTAAGAAATATTATTTTGTATGGCATGAACAGAACAAAGTAAAACAAATTAAATTATATTTATCAAAAAAAGAGTAAACTAAATTATTGAATTAGTAACGTATTATACATCGAGCTCATGATCATGAATGATATCAATTTCATCAATTAATTAAGGAATAATGTAAATATGATTTATTGAGTATATAGATACCAGGTGTACTAGCTACTCTTTGTTTTTTTTTTTTTTGGTTAGTAAGAAACCCATTTTATCATGAAGTGAAGGTATCAAAAGAAGAAGATGGACCATGGGTGATAAGAATTTTTCTTAAAAATATATATCTTTGATTCGTGAATTAGCTTGC